AATGCCTCGATCGCAGAATTATTGACTGACATGGATTCCAAGAAGTGTAAATAGTTTCTGAGAAATGTAAATGCTGATACACAATGTATCGATCGATTGTTGCTTGCCTTATCAGAAACTGGGACTGATTACAGCAGAAGCATGCGACGTTTAATGGGGTAAGGAAAATTACACCGGTTACAGAAAATCGAGTGCTCATATCTTGAATATTGTACAGTTTTTTGGGAGACTTTAGTCATCCACTGTTTCAACCTCGACGTTCCAACAAGCTGCCCGGAAAAGGATCTGAGTATATTCACAAATAGGGATTCACTACTTGACGTGAGTTAACTTGATTTGAAATCAAGTCAAGTATTAGATATTAGCAATCTGATATCAGGTCAAGCAGCTTTTACGCCTGTCTGTCAAGTATTTGATATGCCTTGATATTTTTTTAAATTTGCATACCAGTAGATTATGAATACACAACGAAAATACTTTATTTGTCACATGATTCAGAGAAAATAACACGTAACGAAAAAATTTGTTCATCGTATAACAAATAATAGTACGGTGAAACGGTAAGCTCAAGTAGAAAAGAAAAACATTTCATCGGCTGATACAAAAAAAATAAAAATTCTAAATTAGCTTGTCATATTATAAATAATGGAACTGGCTGGACTTCCAAGCTCGTATATCATAATGATTATTTTCAAGTTGTGCCTGACGTACTACATGTACAGGGTGGCCGACATGTAACTGATTGATTTGTATCTTGAATATTTATGAAATGAAGTAAAATACGTCAATTTTTTTCATCTTAATCTTTTATTGAAACTTAGAAATTATTAATGGAAAATAATATCAGACAAATGTCGGCATCTTGAAGCCGCGCAAACCTGAGCCCTCTTGATTACATTTTCCATCACTTTTTGGTAGGTTTCGGGAGGAATATTTTCAGTCGCTTCCGCAATATTGTTCTTCAGCTGCTCTACAGTCTTTGGTTTGGTGGCATAAACCCTATTTTCCAAAAATCCCCATAAAAAAAGTCAGGAGCCGTTAAATCCCGTGACCTTGGTGGCCAGTTACATCACCACATCGAGAAATTAAACATTGCAGGTTAAATCGTTGGATTTAAGGAGCCAGAAAGTTTTGCACCATATCACGGTAGCGCTTGCCAGTGACAGTAAGAGAATTAATTACCTGCAGCGTCTTTAAGGAAGTAAGATCCCATGATACCTCCATACCAAACACCGCACCAAACTGTGACTCGACGAGGATGTAGTGGTCGTTGATGGATGAAACGAGGGTTCTTTACTGTCCAGAACGACAGTTCTGCTTGCTGACAGATCCGTTCATATCGAAGTGGGCTTCATCGCTCATTATCAGTTGTCGGTAAAAATCGTTATTTTGGGTATTAAGCTGCAATATTGCATGACTGTATTATCGGCGACTTTCATGGTCACTGGGCTGTATTTCTTGGGTTAACTGAATTTTTTTAAAATAGTCCATAATGTCGTGGGATGAATACGCAGTTCTTAAGAACGATGTCTGGCTTCAAAATCACTCGTCCCCCATTCTATCTAAGAAAAATGTTCCAATTTGGCGCCCCTCCACCACTTGTACGCTAAAGCAAAGTTTTCATCACCCCAAACCACGAATTTTAATTTGCTAACTTAACCTGTTCATCAAAAAAGAGAGGGGCCTTTTTGAAAAGCACTGTAATACTGCGTTTTCGGTATCCTTTTCCCAATCCCTAGCGGCTAATATATGTGGTAAGGTTGAATTTTAAAAACAGCACGTCGAAATCTATAAAAGTACCAATTTTTGAAAGCTTCCCAACATTTCTTTTACCACCAAACGAATGGGTTCGCTACATATGGTTTAACAAGCAGGTTAAAAATAATACGAAGAACTCCTTGTACCTAAATCGATCGTAAAATTCAGTGATTCTTATAAGATAATCTGATAATGGGTACGAATGGGGACGAATGTTATTAAGAACATAGTGGCGTTGACATTATCGGCAAACTCAAAGTTTCCGATAGCCAACAACCAATTATACGGAATTTGTTCGGCTAAACTTTCCGATTTTATTCGCATCGATAAAGATGTTTTAGCATTGGCATACAGTAGAGAATTACTCCCCGATGAGAACGTAATAAAAACTTCCGGACGTTCGTACCTTATCACACAGCTTTGTTTGCCGCTCGCTCAACTTCAAGAACGTTCAGCAGCATTTTCCCAAGTTTCAGTTTTTACATTAACAGTCAGTGGTGTGCTGTGAATATCGAAAAAAAAAAAAGCGAAAATTTAATTCGTCAGTTCAATTTGTGATACAAACGTTTGTTCCCCCAGGAGTGTAAATATTACGTTGGGTCACTGGTGGAAAAGCATTCCAAGTTCGAGGTTCCTGGGAAGTGGAATCAAAGCACACTTTTGTTCAAGAGCAGGTAGTATAGACAAAGCTGTCGCATTGACCGAAAGGGTACTGCAACTTTTTACTACCAAAAAGCTACTTGAGGCAGTGACAGTTATCTGCCTCTGGTCCCTGGTCTCACTGCCTCTTCTTTCTCTAAAACTTTATAATTTCCAAGTATAAATAATAGCTTACGTATCCACCATGCCGTAGTGGAGAGCAAGAGCTCCTCGTGTCACATGTTACTTGTTCGTCTACGATTATGTGTTTTGACAGTGGAAACAGTTTTTGGGCATTGCCAGAGTTTTCGTTACTATTCTTAGATTTCAAACATAACGTCATGACTCTGTTCTATACAGATTCAATTTATTATTACTCTCTTAACCCTAGAAAAAGTCTAAACCCAGGTATTTTCCGTTCCTTCTGAAGCAACAAGTTTTATAATAGCATGGGGAGTCCTGTAAATCTACGACACTGGTTCGATACGTACACATACAAGGATTCGAGAGTACGGACAGAGCAGTTTCTTAAGCAAAAGTGGAGAAGTCGTAACAGGAGCTGGAATGGAATGTAAGTTGATATGGGTAAACAGCGAGATTGGCAAAATTGGAATTTGCTTTTTACTGACGAGAACGGTCAGATGCCGAACTCCAGATAGGATAGACCGTTTGCATACAAGGGGCAAACACAAAATACTAGTTGAATTCAAAGAAAATAAGGGGAGATCCTCAAGTGGTTTTAGCCTTGTTTATGTATTTTTATTGATGTTTATAGGCAATCATTTGCATGTCATATGTAGATATTAGTTACATTATTATATGTGAAATGGACTAGGATATGTCTCGGGGTCCCTCCGAATGTCTTTTCTTTCGGTTAGCAGAGCAAAGAAGTTTTTTATGTTTCAATCTTTAATATTTTCCCTGTTGTTTTTTTCAAGCTAGCATTGACCAGATAGAACACAATGGATTTACGGAGCAATAATAGGATAAATTCTAGGAGTTCCACTGAGGTTGAACAATTACCAGTCCCAAATATCGTTTGCGATCCCCCCCCCTAGACGAAATCCTGAATCCGCCCTTGTTTGCGATACTCGCTGTGATACCCGCAATTTTAGAAACCACAAAAATATCGAAAATATAAATTCCTAGTTTTCATAAGCATTCTACGAATCCAATAATCGAGGATGCCCGGAGGTTATAACAAGGAAGGAAGTTTGAGTATCAGAAGTTTTTGTTTTTTCTCGATCCTGACACTGTCGCTAGTGAGAAGTTTTTCAAAGTATAGAAAGCTTTTTTGTGTTCGGTGATACAGTAAGCGCGTTCAAAATTTTCAGGAGTAGTGAGAGATATATATTTTCTCCTATTTAAATTTTGTTGCAGATATAATACTCACCTAGCCTATTCGCGTAGAAACAAAAAATTAGTTGCCTAGTGTTTACTCTGAGACTTTGTTTTCCGTAGTATTTTTACGAAGATCCCTGTATACTGTACCTCTTAAGAATTTTCACACGGCTAGGAACTTTTCAGATACCCAACTTGTGTGTATCGATTTATAGTTCCACCTATTACAGATATTACAAAAACAATTACGGTCAGCTGAAGCGGAATTTATTGCGGTTGTTCTAAGTGACATTTACTTATTGCTGCAGTCTGATTTCACAAATTGGCAGAAGGCATAAGGATACTCAGGCGGCCATGTATGGATATGCATGTACATACATACAGGCATTTGTGGAATGATTTTTTGATAAAAATCAGACAGGCGCGGGACGAAAACATGCATTGCATAAGCAACGAATGATACCAGAGGCACATGAGATTAGTTTTTGTTTTGCAACGAAGATGAATTTTCAAACAGCATTATATATGATGTACGCAAGCTCCAGTATAGAGGCAGTATTACAGATTAATTAGAATTTTGAAAGGGGCATTGCAAAGGTGGAGCATTGGAGAGAACTGTACACGTTTTTCTACTTGTCGCTCTATTTTATTTGATATTTGACATGGTAAGTTTCTTTAAATTACTTATCCAGATTTTTCATAACTGCAATATTAATTTAGTCGTTTATTTACACATAAAAAAAACTGAGTCAGTATACCTGGGTCAATTTACTAACGTTTAATGATATATTGATCGGTCGTTTTCATCGATATCATGTACGAAAATCGTCACACTCAGTTTAAGGGCAAAGTTGTCAGTAAACAGTTTTGGCAATTACAAATACTGCATACACAAACGTGAATGTTAAAACCGGCGCACACTGGTTCAGAGGGCACCATTTCCGCGAAAATAGTAACCAACTATAAATATTATATTTCTCTTTACTTTTTCTGATTTCTAATATTTTTTTAACCCAAAATTACCTACTTGCAACATTTTCTTTTTTCTTAAATTATTTCATCTCCTCAAAACAAAAAAATATTTTTCATCAACTTTCATCATGAATTTTGCTAAAATTTAGGCGTGCCCTATGCGTAACTGCAATCACAATCACAATAAATATAGTTGACGTTTGGAAAAACAATTGAATTTAAAAGGAATGTTGACAGTCGCTTTGTGCTGACGTGGCATATTTTTTAGTCAATTCGTGCAATTTTTTCAGCAGTTTCCCACTAATGGGTTCCGATAAAAAAGTGCAGGTATTTCCATGTTTTGAAAACAAGTTTAGAATGTGCGTTTGAAACACCTCAACACAAAGAAAAAACTAGCTGCACAAATTTGCAACTTTTGTAGACAACTTTTTAGAGTTTAGTGCGCAATAGAAACCAACCAAAATGAAAAATATAGACTTATTGCACGTGTGGTATTTGAACAGAACAAAACAGAGTTCAACTGTTGAAGACGTTCAAGTTTTACATATGCTGAATTTTATAAAAAATGTGGAAATTAGATGGAAACCTTATCATCGAGATTAAGTTTTTTATTAAGAAAAATAAGACTTGGTTGAACCAAGAATTTGCGCCTTCAAAGAAAACCGTTGTTACTTCAGAGCAATAATCAACAAGAACTTTTGGAAGGTCAGTGAAGAATTATCAGAGCCTTGATAAAAGGGTAAACAATTGAGGATTCGTTCTAGCCATTCAACAAGCGAAATAACATTTTTAATTATTTAGTTACATTTTAAACATTTTTTTTAGTGTTCATTTTCACTGTTGATAGGTTTTGATTTGTAAAAATTAATCTTAGACTGTTTCTGCAAAAATTATATGGCATTATAAACCTAATAGGAAGTTTGCTGTCAAAAAAGTTCGGTCAAATTAAAATTAATAATTATAGCCTACGTAGTGCCCTCTAGATGCTGCATGAAAATTAAAAAAAATCTATAGAGATGCAGTGAAAAATGATTAATTCTCGAGATACAGGGTCTTAAATGTTTAAAAAAATGACATTTCTTCGTCGTAAGTTTTTTGAGACTACAGTTATTTTTACTAAATTTGATTCACATCTTTATTATAGGAAAACAAAACTGTTCATTTTGACAGGATCAGTCACATAGTTTTTATAAAGTTCTGAGCATTTTGAGTACCCCACAACCTGCATTGATACAGAAATTTGCGAATTTCTCGAAAACTGCTCACCATACCATACTTTAACAGGAGTGCCTTTTTTACTCAAAAATATCCAGTAAATTGTTTTTTTTACAAAAAAAGTAAAAAACCACACTGAGAAAAAAAGTATGGCCATTTAAAGCGATCCGAAGTGCAGTGTCAAGCGCCCTCTAAAGGTCACAATGAAAAAATGTCCATATTCGGGTTTTACATCCCAAAAAAGCCCCGGAGACCAATTTTTGGAGTAATACGTTAAAAAAATTTCATATATTAAAAAACAGGTATTTATTTTCTAACTATACCATCCTGTATCTCGGAATCGGAGGAATTTTGGACCTCAAATCAGCTTATTTTGAACTCGGGAATATGTGCAAAAATTCTGTAAAGACCTTATAGTGCCGCCATCTTCAATTTTTGACATTTGTCAATTTTTTATACAATTTTTTAAAGATAATTTATTTAGATTTTTAATGAGGTATGGCTCATAAAAATCGGTTTAGCAGTAACAAAATAAGAAACCTTGATATTTTGTGAGGCGAACTTTCGTGTTTACCGATGCAGTATTTGTGATTTCCAAAACTCTCTAATGTCTCAAAAACGTTGTTCTGCTAGTCCAGTGCATAGAACTATCTGAAGTATTTTCCACTGTAATTAGATCATGAAGTGATGAACGCACACAGACACCTCCAAAAAAACAATATCCCCGACTCAATCAATAGAGATGAAAAATTCACCAGGTGTCTCTCCCTTATACGTATAGAGCGCTCATTGAAAATAGAAGATCAGATATCTCTTTCAGCTCACGCTGGAGACAATCTACCGTTATCTGGACTTACCGACTCGCTATTGTTTTTGGTATTCCAAATATACGACTGGGTGCTTTTTGATCAGTCCGAGATATAAGAAAATGGAGGGACAGACGCTAACTGACAACGCGATTTACCGCTCTCAAAAGGTCGACTTTTTCACCAAGTAAAAAGCCAAGACTATCATGGAAAAAGAGTGCATAAGAAGTATTGTTGGTTAAACTTCAAACACATCGTCGCCTGAATGCAGAACTATTGTATGTCAAAATACTTCATTTTTCTGATTTTAAGACAACATTGTAGCTCATAGTCACCTACATCGCGTGCAGGGGTATTGTAAGGCCCTACGCAATCGTTCCCCCACTTAAACGATATTTGTCGTAATAGCTTGAGGCGCGTCACTTCGCTGCAGAACTATGATAACAGCAGATGCTAATTTAAGTATGTAGGCAGACGAAAGTGGATAGCATAGTTCTGCTCTATTACACGTGGACATACACTTGTTTCATTAAGACTTGTACTAGTTTTGACGCTACATGGTGTAATTGAGAACATGACCACTAGAACTCAAAAAATTTTTCATGTCATCCTTTTTTCCGGTAAAGCATTCTGTCTCTCCGAAACGTTAGGCAAGTCCGCCATTTGAATCTTGATTAATCAATCTTTTTTTTTACTGCAAATGCGCCACTATATTTAAAAAAGTTGTAATGGATTCGCTTCAAGCATGAAAAATAGCTCTCCTGTAAAATTTGCATTTTGTAACTTGGGATACTTCTGCATTCAAGCGAAGACATATTTTCGGTGTGACATTGATGCAAATTGGAAGTGAAATAATTTTCCAGAGATACATATATTACTTAGTACTAACATGGCCTTGATTATTTGTCGTGTAGAAGATGAAACAGATCGTGGACCAAGGAAGTATATGCAATTTGCTTGTCCGCCCTGTACTTAATGCACACCTCCAACACCGAAGAGGTCAATGACAGTCCACATCATACCATTGACACCTTATTATTAAAGTGCATAGTCTATGAATAGACAGCTGCAATATCGTTTTCATCTTAGTGCTCTAGACCACACCTCAATCGCAGGCGTAAAGGACAAACTCCGGTACACCGCTTTTATTATTATTTCTACATGGGCGATTACAGAGTTCAACAATGTTGCCATTTTGATTTTTGGCTTTGAAGGGGACATATTCAACTGCTTTATAATATTACGCCTATACTAATGTTCCTTGTTCAAAAACTTTGCCTAATATAAAAATAACACACGTTACCTTTCACACAGAATGTCTCTGAAGATTTGGTGCTTACCTGTAACAATAAAAAACATGAGAATTATGCAATAAATACATCGATAAAATTCTAAAATGCAAGTTATCTAAAATGCATATTATTACTGTCAATATAGAATTATAAAATCGGCATTAACTTTCGATGTGATGCTGACAAACAAAAATATTAGATGGATGTTCGGAAACATTTACTTTTTAATACTCGAGGACCTGTATTGGCCTAAGCTGGTGCTCTGCAGTTTAATTTTTTTTTTTCAGAAGCAACAAATATTTTATTCTTTTACTACCCTTATCACTGGCGAGGAAGTACTGTAGTTGAAAAAAAATTACATTATATTTTTTGTCGATTTGTCTGTCTGTCGGTTTGTCCGCCAATCGTTGAACAATCTATAACTTGGAAGGCGCATTTGATTGAATTTTGCACACATGGCTACTGCTATGCTAAAACCGAATCAGCTTTACGTTTTTGGAAATCGATGCACTCTGTTTACGTTTCTCAAAATTTGCAACATTCGGATCTGTCTAGGTCTTGCACTGTGCCTACATCGGCGTTCATACAAACTGCCTTTGTACGAGTTAGACAAACGTATGCGGCACGGGATGAAAGCATCCAGGAAAACGATATGGATACATTGGTTAAGCATCAGAAACATATCTTGAAGACGACTAATTTGTTGCTACCAGAGGACTGTACCTTTTTCGGTTTTTTCATACCTAATGAAAACAAACAGCTTAGTTTACCTACACAATGCGCAGCGCCTGGGTTGTATGCTAACACATGTCGTATTTTCTTAACCAATTTTTTTGCTGGAGGGAAGGCTCAAGTTGATATCACCGATTTTTTAACCTAATAACACAGTTACCTTGAGATTTCTGTGTATGTGTTACCAGGAAAGTTGGCTTATTCTTACATGAACTACACGTTGTGTTAAGTTACCGTTAAGAGCGACCTAGATACTGCAGTAGCTTAACTGCAATGAGGAGTGATTCAAGTTCTTAACTGGCCAAGGTCAGTTAACACGTCCCTAGTAGATCTCTGATCCTGGAAATAATGTTGCCCAATCAAGCGGTGATACCAGAGATATTTCGAAAGATCCCTCTTGATATGATTTTCTATCAATTTCTATGAAGGCAAACATCTATATGGTTATATGGATCGGAATTAGATCCTTTTTGAGATTAACGCTTCTAATGCACTTTGTCAATCCCAAATATCTATCGTCTAGTCTGGTGATGTAACAATAAATCAAAGAAACTTATTTCGAAGATATTTGTGAGAAATAAAATATTTTCTTTCTGATGAATGTTGGAATGGACCTTTAACCTGGCAACACTGGACTGCATCTAGCTTCCGGTTTGGTTGGATTGAAATGCTGTACCCGCTTGGCTTGCTTTCAGCACCTTTCAACTGAAAAGATCCATCGCTGATATAGCACAGTTGCAATTAACTTTTCGTCGTGATACTAAAATAGATTGCGTCTGCTATCGTCGGAATGCCATCTTCATAGGAAACCATTTCTGGTATTCGGATTGCTTCTTTTGTGCTCGGTTACGTTATATGATTACTTGGAACAAAAAGGTTCCAGACCATGATTTGTCTTATTACATCCCACGCTACTGGGCAGGATTTTGGATAATACATGTACATCATCAAAAATCATGTCACTCATTGCCGACGGTCCGTCTGTCTGTCCCCTTTATGACTCAGAAAGTACCGATCGGATTTTGATTTGGCAAGGTTACTGCTGTTTAGATTTGTCAATCAACCGAATATAGTCTACTTGATGACATACGTGCGTGGGAAGTACAAAGTCAACCTACTTGATGCCATTTTACAACTCATTTTAAGGCATTTCAACCAAAACTGTGAAAGTTGCAGTAGGAGACTCTACTCTGGTTATTATACAGGGTGCGGGTGAGAGGATGGACGGTTTTAAAAAAATTATAAAATAGTTAATTTTTACTCGAAAACAAATTTATTGATGGAATCAGATTTACAAGGAAATAGCATTTGAGACAGTCAAGTGTGGAAAATCACATCAGGCATGTGGTGGCCGAAATCGTCGATGCAGTGCTGGAGGCGTTCTTGGCAGTTCGCGATACAGCGCAACAAACCGTTACTTTTGGGCTGTGCAGAGGTCTTTCGTGTAACTGTTGCGGATTTACATTAGCCCAATAACGATAATTCTGCTGGTTAGCCATGCTGTTTAGGTGAAAGTGGGCTTCGTCACTCATAAACAAAATGAGGTTCTCATTTTGATCGATCAGTGCTTCCATCTCACGTGCGAAATTCATTCGTTGTGCATAATCTCCGGGCTGTAACTGTTGCACAATGGCCAATTTGTAGGGGTGAAAGCGGAGATCCATATGCAAAATTCGCCTTACCGAACGATCACTAAGGCGAAGTGCAGCAGCATGTTTCCGGGCAGATCGAGTTGGACGGGAAGAAAGACCTGTCGAACGCGTTCAACATTTTCAGGAGTTCGAACTGTTCGCGGCGCTCCTCTTGGTCTTCGGTTGATCAGTTCACCACGTCTGCGAAGTGATTCAACCCAACGAAGGGTGGTGTTTCGAGAGGGAACAGCTCCATTCCGATAAATGCTGAAGTGGCGACGAAACTCACGCTGTACGACGATGACTGACTCATTATTTCGGACGAAACATTCATAGGCGAAAACGCGGTGCTCCATCGTCCAAGGCTCCATAACGACAGCTGGTAAAATAATGCTAGGATCTCACGAGTTAAACCGCATCCTCCCCACCTCTCACGTAGACGGAGGCGGAAAGTACTACCCATCCCAAAAATGTCCGTCCTCTCTGCCGCACCCTGTACATCACCCCACCAGATGAGCTAGGTGGGCATAGTCAGATGCAAGCTATTTAGTGAGACACTTCATACAGAGAATATGAATGAGCTTACAGGAACTATCAAACTTGCGTGTCTGAAACTTAAAACCAGCTTTCATTCTTAAAATTGTATTATTTGAGGCATTGCATAGGCCTTGCTTTTTACCGAAATCAGGAAATAGGAAAACGTTTCACGTACAATCAGCAAACCGGTGAAAATCACGAACTGCTTATAACATAATCCTACACGGCTCTATCTAGATGTCTCTCGTTGGAAGCGTACACAACTCATTTCGAAATTTTGCTAATTATTTTCTTGTTAGTAGTTGGAGGGTAAAAAGCCAACATGGCAGTCTTTGGTGGAGGGGTGCTTTTAGCTGTAATTCGCGTCGAGATGTCTCGAGCCCACTGTGTAATTAAAGTTTTGTTAATGTGCCCTTTTGCCCGAAAGGTTAAGTGTTCAGAAACTATAATTGTTGCGATAATTGTTGTGTTCTCGTATTATAGCTTCGTGCTGTTGGGGTGAAAGCAAGTATAGAGATTGAAGCTGGTGAACATTCCTACAGCAAATCTGTTACTAAGGTTGTGTGTTTTATCATTGTTTTATAGACTCAGTGACAGGTCGAGGTTTCTTTAGAGTTTAGAGTCATTCATAATTTTGAGTAAGCAGATGACATGTCTAATATGCTCCTCAAGAAAGGAGGAGTTTTTTGGACAGATGCCTCCTTATAGCCTTGCATAATGGATCACGGCAAGGCTTTTTCGTCAACTACTTTTTTTCATCACTTTTTGATTATGAAAGTGTTCTAAAGTATGGGATTATTTTTTGGGGACGCAATAGGTTTATTAAAAAAATTTGTGTTGTTTAAAAAAGAGCAGTACGTCTGCTAAAGGGACTAAATTTCAATGTAACTTGCAGGGGGGTGTTTAAAACTGAAAAAATCATGACTGTGTATGCCATCTATGTGTATGAGTGTCTTATATTTTTTTTTTAAATAAAAATTTATTTGAGCTTGAGGTGCAAACTGTTTATGATACTCGAACAGTCAATGTTATTTATCCTCCACAGAAAAAAGCCCTATTTACACGTGTTTAAAATTTTTTAACAATCTACCAAATGAAATTAAAAACATAAACAGTTTACATAAATTTAAAAAGAGTATTAAGAAATGTCTAGTACAGTTAGAGCCTTATACAATAGATGAGTTCTATGGGAGTTGTAATAGTATAAGATAGTAGCTTTTATAAGATAAATAACCATGTAACACAAAAAAAGGTCTCAGGTAAACTACTATAGTTATGGTGACAGTGACGCAACATTTCATTTTGTAGTGGCTATACAATTTTTGTAATGTCATTGTACAATTTGGAATGTAGATTATTATTATTGTTATTATTATTATTATCTCAATATGCGCCTCTTTTGCTTGCTGCGTACTGCTGATTTTTTGTGCCAAGATAACAATCTTGGATGGACCAGACTTTCGAACGTCATATGTGTAAACTGAGCAGGCTCGAAAAATTTTATCGTTATCCTGACCTGCTTTTAGCTACATTAGAGTGCATAGACATCGTAAATGTCTTGCATAACCACAAATTTAAAATCATATCCTACTTGTATCGTTTAAGCAAATCAAACTTGGCGTACATACTTCGACAGTCTCAATAAAATTATAACTTATGGCCCATATAATGCTAAAATGTAACTTGGCTTTTAAAACGAGAAAATTGATGTCAACTGCAATCACATATCGAAAAGTGACTGAAACAAGTGCATTTTAAAAAAAATAAAAACAACTCGACTGTAGTTACTGAATAGAATAAAGATTCTGCTTTCAAGAGAAATTTAGAGACACGTTATATATAAAAGACATCAAGCCGTTTAAGCTGTAGCTAGTGGAACGGGAATTTCAAAAATGATTTTTTATGTGAAATACAATTTTTTGGATACATACACAGATACGTACATGAATTGATACATATACATATATGATACATATCTCGTCTGTGAGTCAAGTGACGGGGCTGGCAATGTCGCGTTGAATCTGGCAACACTGGAGGCACAGGGCTTGGAGGGGAGACAGGGAAACATGTGATCCGCCTTCAAGACTAGGTTGGACTCGCTTGAGTCATTTGGTTGTCCGTAGCGATTTTTTTTGTGAAACAGTTTATCCTAGGGAACTCATTTTGGGTCAGTGGAAAACATTCAAACGGCTATAAGCAACACACTGAGGGCTATTCCAGTATCGCAGTTGCAGCAGCGCTATGAGGAGTGGAAAACCCATCTCCAGCGCTGTATGCCTTCAGAAGGAAGTTATTTTGTAGACAAAAATATAAAATTGTAGCTATATTTGAAGGAAAGAATTAAAAAATCAGTGTCATCACTTAATTTACAGACCTCGTACATACATACATATATACAGACACACGAAAAACATATCCCGCCATTGAGGCAGTCGTGTAAATAATACAACTACGGCTTCGATAAAATAGATATTTGCATATCGAAATTGGTTTGATACAATTTTTTGCCGCAATGATGCAAACTATTATTTTATTCCAGAAGGAATATATCATTAAGAGAATTGCTGTTGCAGTAATGATGCCACACGATCATTTCGCCATTCCTCCACAGGTGCTGTATTCGGCTGGTGGGCTACCCGAGGTGTCATTTGACGTGGTTTTTCCAAACCCATACACATGCTATACAAACTATGTACACATATTGAACACACTCAAAATCTCACTACTGAGTATATTTTCAGCAAAAGTCCGAATCCACCCTTACCAAATATAATATATATTATTTCGTAGGGGTGGAGTGGCCACGCGCCATGCAATTACTCTTGAGTCAGAACAAAACCAACATATCCCTAGTATTTTCCATTCTCTAATTTTCCCTTTTCAACTGACGCGTAAAGATACACTCGCTTTTAATCAAAACCAATTTGCGTTCCGAAAAAACCCGTTTTCTAAACGAGACTTTCAGCCCTGCAGGCATCCATCGACAAATGTTTGCTGACGAGATCTTTCGTCGAAAAAGACCAGACTTCATTGTTGTTAAAACCGAATATACGCATTTTGATAGCATCACTCTGAAAGTTCGTTTTGCAAGTGAGTATGTCCAAACAGAGATGGGGCAGTCAAATCTGACGTCTGAGTCACCTGTGAAAGAAAATCCATCCAAGTGAAGTGAGGTGAGATTATCTGAGGTGTGTGAGTAATGAACGTGACGAGATGTTTTTTTTTACACCGAAGTAGCCGTGGCAGAAGCCTAAATGACAGGGCATTGCGGCTGTTTTGAGGAGCTTAAAGTAACTTTGCTAGTCCGATTCTTGAACTGTCTAAGGTTAGTAGAATTGTAAAAAAAATCTTATGTAGATTGTTTCACAATCGAAATCCTAAACACAAAGGAGCTAGCTGTCTTATGGGCTAGTTCTGAATGTTCGACACGGCTTCGACGGGAGGTAGAAGCAGGCACATCACGCTGCGGCATCGTGGAGGAAAGCACTGAGGAGCAAAGCCCGTTGGCGTAGCGGTAAAAGACCTAGATCGTCGACGGCCCGCCGGTGCGAAAGTATCTCAAGACCGTCACTTAGAGGAGAGTCATCAATCAGTCGGACAGCCCTCCTCCGAACAGCATCGAGCATGGAAAGTGTAGCCGAGGCGGCAGTACACCAAACATGTGAGGAGTACTCGAGGCTAGGTCTTACCTGGGCCTTATACAAAGTGAGGAGGTTATGCGGATAAGCACTTATTAGCAATAAACAAATAATTAATCTGTACGTGCAAGTCCTCGGTGATCTGGTGTCTGACCATCCGAAATGATCGGCTCTTTGGTAAGAACTCTGACATCGATCGAATCGCGACGAACGCTAGGACGCATCTTGTTAGTCTCTGATAATGCTAAAGTCATGAAAAAACACTAGCTTCTACATGCCAAAACTGTTTTTTGAAAGAACCTTTTGTAATCGGTCCAGTGGCGGCGAAATAATTAATAAAAACTGAGGGAGAGGTCAAGTTGTCTATCCGAATGCGGCGTGTTTCCATTATTACCGTATTGTTAGCTAATTTTATCCTTACGACCAAAGAAACATTTTGTTCCAAAAAATTCATTGGTTAGTCCCCTTAAAGTGAGCAGTCTATCGCACACCAAGATTTAAAGATATATCTATAAATTCTTAAATACCTTCAAGAAGGCCTGCCTACAGTATATATAGTATATATATGGGATTAAAGTAGTTTCAAGACTCAACAGCATATTTTATTATTAATCGACGTGGGAAGATTTTGAGTCGATCAACTTGACGCTGTAAATTAAACAGTAAAAACATATTACCTCGTAGCCCAATAAGCAATTTAACATCTATAAACTAGATTATCCTCGTTACGCTATAAAACGTGAGGAGAATTAGTTCAACTTCTTTTGATTTATCTTCGGGTGTAATTCTTTGATATACTTTATTGAAAACATAGATGATTGATTGGTTATGGAGATACACAATTGATCACAAAGCAAACAATGGGATATTTTTAATCCGTGGAATGAAATTGATTGATTTTTAAGAGGATTGACTCCGTGTATCGTTATAAGCAGCACGAATACCTTGGTCACAGTTATCGAAATACCAATTAATTACGAAGGCCTATAGAATGAAAAAGTGGTGTGTGCTTGGGGTCCGACCATGTTCCTTCCATGTGCTTTTTAACGCTGAACACGAATCTGATGTCAAAATTGGGGGTAGCTAGACAAATTATAGAGATAACGCATAAAATCGATCCACAGGTCTACAAAAAATTAAAACTGGTGTGTGCTGACGGTTTCGCTGTACTTTTTCTATGCATTTGAGGAAATGGACAAATATGGACATAATTTAGACATTAAGTTTTTCATACTTATCTCTCCAGAGGTCTCTGAGAGATGCCGTCAACCAAAACAAAATCTTAAAGAACTAACTATACTAAGTGACATATAAATCCGAACACCCAGTTTAAATGGTTTTACTTTAATAAAATTTTGTATAAGTACTTAATGAAGCATAATAAGTAAATGATAAAAATTTCAAAATGATTGCACTGCTTTAAAGCCCTTTGACCTTTAATAATGTGGGGATGCACCCTGATGTGCTACGCATTCTCCAACGCGCCTAGGTATGCTTCTGATCAGGTGGTCAATATCCTCCTGTGGTATCTCATTCCAGGCCACCACCAACTCCTCCCGAAGTGCTTCTAGAGTCTGAGGATGACGTTGCAAATTGAGCAATCTCCTACCCATCATATCCCACACGTGCTCAATTGGGGATAAGTCGGGAGATCTTGGTGGCCATGGTAACAATGTGACATCATTATGTTGAAAGAAGTCTATTGCGACTCTTGCAACATGTGGTCGGGCATTATCTTGTTGGAAAGTTGGATCTGCCAGGGTGTCAAGAGAGGGTAAAAGAACTAGATCTAGAACTTCGTGGATATAGCGCTGCGCGTTCATGTTACCTCTGATGAAGATTAAAGGTGACCTGGAACCATAAGCTATAGCACCCCAAACCATAACTCCAACAGTGTGATGAACATGTCTTTCAACAAAAAACTGTGGATTCCTCCTTTCACCACGTCGTCTTCTAACCCTGGCACGACCATCGTGCATGCCTAAACAAAATCGAGACTTGTCACTAAAGACAATACTGTTCCATTCCTGATCCCAGAGTGGCCGTTGTCTGCACCACTCAAGGCGATTACGTCGGTGTTCTCTTAAAGGGAGGACCCAGTGTGGCCGGTATGAAAACAAGCCAAAACTTCTCATTCGTCGGTAAACACTTCGCATGCCAATAGGTCTTCCGTGTTCTGCAAACCATTCATTTGCAATGGACCTGGTAGTGGAGAAACGGTCCCTTAAGGCCAATAATCTTAGGCGGCGATCTTCACGGTCTGTTGTTCTACGGCGGCGTCCAGTGCCCCTTGCTCTTTGCGTACGGCGTTCTCGAAGCCATGCCTGACAACACCTAACCACAGTGTCTACACTTCTTTGCACTCTAACTGCAATTGCCCGAAAAGAAAGTCCAGCTCCCCGAAGTCCCACTATACGGCCCCTATCAAACTCACTAAGTTGACGAAATCATACAGGTCTCGGTACTCTAGGCATCGTAACCTATCGTAAAGGATGTCAAGAACCAAAATCCGCCAACGTGGATTCTTTACTGCGGCTGAAATATTCATTTTTAGAGCGTTAGTGAATTAAAAAAAGCAGTATAAAAACCGGAATTTCCAACTGATAAGGCTGAACATTTTTTCACTTGTTATTTACAGTAAGATAAATACATTCACCAACTTTTATTAAAATAATACCATTTAAACTGGGTGTTCGGATTTATATGTCACTTAGTATACTTTCTTATTTAATCAGCGATTCCCAATTTACACTTCAGAATCGTGTTCAGCGTGAAAAAGTATATGGAAAAAAACTAGCTTCACACACATCATTTTTTTATTTGGATGCCTGTGTTATTTGAAGAAAATAGTGGCAGTCATAATGTGGGTACATAAATCCTGGCAAAGCCCACCTTCTAGTCCTGTTTGCCCACTCTGGATGTCAACATTAAAATCAGTAGAATAATCAGCATTGAAACTAGATGTTGAAGGTTACAACATCTGCCTAGTACTTTATAAATCCACCTCCTCTCAATCAAGTTCCACATGTCACATACCTGAGCTATAAGGTCTTAATGGATGACTCACTTCCAAAGGAAGTGGAATGGTGTTTGCTTCACTTCCTAGCACCTAAAACAGTTCGACCATCTTATATTCGTATGAGGCCAAATGTCTGTCAAATCTGTGCAGTGAATTGAGAATCCTAGCCACAGGATTAAGCGACTCTCTACTTAAGTCCAATGGCTACGTCCTCGTCCAGGGGGTCAATTATTGAGTGCGTTAGAATAGATCGCTCCCAGAAGAATGACCTCAAATCCAAACAGCTGTTAACGCTATCAAACAAATCTGTGAGTGCATACATTTTCGGCAAATTAGTATGTTCCTAGATTCTCCATATCATTAAGCGCTTCATGACAGACAGACTCGAGGAGCAACTGTTCTATCAGTGTCAAGGAATACGGTTCCCCGAAGGGTAAGAGAATCAAGCGCACTTTCTATTAGTTATTCTACTCGTTCATTTCAAGAATTGTCTCCATCATTTCTGACCTTTGGCACTCCAATATGTATACTGGCAAAGAATAGTAACGAAGAACGTCTGGTTAATTTCGCGTTTGTATGAGGACAGTGAATTTTCATAGCTAGTTGAATAGACAATGTCTGGGAAATTGATTGGTTTTTTATTGCACTAAGAATCAGACTGGAAGCATGATAAAGTTTCTGAATAACAAATTATCGATCTAAAGTTAGGAAGTACGCGGAAAACAAAACTATAAAAGAAAAACAGAAAATCATAAAAAGCTCGTAAAATGTGCTACAAATAATTTATAGAGATAAGTAGTAATTACGGCAATGCAAAACAACATATCATTCAATATTTTCCCAAGGCGAATGCGTTTTAATTGTGAATTTGTTACTTCCGATTGTTGAACATGGCTCATTTTTACTTCATATCAGGCATGTCATTTACGTCGGTCTGTTACTATACATATGCTTTATTCATATTTTCGATATATATATATATATATATATATATGTATC